TTTTTTTTTTGCAGAATTTGGGCTTATAATGAAAATTTAGGATAGCGATACTAGTAGAGGTGAGGACGTGATGTCGTTAAGTGACGTGCCTCGAGACCATCGCTTCATCTCATATAGAAAATTACAATCGGAAGCCACGCTCAATCTTCAGTCTCTTTTGGACCAAACCACATTGCCACACATCTCAGCCCAAGTAGGATATGATTCTTCTATCGAGTTTCACATCTCCACATTCTCCTTTAGAATTTGCTCACAGTTCTTACGGTTCTTTGTAATATTGCAAGACGAAGGCCAGAATATATGGCACGTATACTTGACTCCCTCGAAGCTCTCCATATCAACTTACCTCCTACACTTGGAGCGAGTCAGGTAGGTCTATGGCCTAAAAGGCTTTGGAAGTTTTATGAGTCCTCTTTCCAGGTGAAGTCCATGCGTAAGGAGCTAAAGGCTCATCTTTTACGGATACTGAAGCACTCGGCTTCCTTGCATTTGCATCCTAGAATCACCACACTTCTCACTGACCTAGGAGCTTCTCAGAGTGTAATTTGCCTCTTTGCAGACATTGCATCCCATTTGCATTCCTTTAAAGTTTTATTCTAGGAAATCAATAGAAATATGCCTCCAAATATTGCTGAATTACGCAAAAAGGCATCGAAGCGACAGAGCTCAACCGAGGAACCAGCGGCAAAGAAGAAAGCGAGGAGTAGCGAAGAGGGCCCTGGAGGTGATAATTTTTGTCTAAACATATATGACTCAATACATTTCCATTCGTTTCATTTTGTTTGTATCCATCTTCAGTATCACTGTTGTCTTGTGCCCATTTTCATCTCCTACCAAATCTGCTCTATGCATCTTTTGATCCATGTTTTTCCTCTAAAGCTGAATGTACATCTGTAGAGTTTGAAATGTACAGCTTCATTTATTATCGCAAACCAACACTAAATCCAATATAGGGCGCATAATTGCTCAAAGATCACCTGATATCCTTTTTCAATTATTTGATTCTCTGGATTTTGTTTGTACACCAGTGTACACTCAACTTGAAAACCGTATCTGGTCAAATCTAGTTTATCTTCAAGCTTTTCATTTAGTTGTTTTGGACGATGACGAGTATCAAGATGATGAGCCATCTACGTCGGACGGATCAGTTCCGATTCCTGACTCTGCTCATCAATCCGCCATTGATATAACAGCAGAATGGATCTATGAACGACTGAATCCTAAGCTTGTAGCCAATCTTGTTCTGATTTCTTTGGTCGGTTGGGATTCTGCATAGTTTTAGTATTTTTCATAATCCCTGCAGTGATATCAAAGTTCAGGTAACCCTACCAGATGAAATGCCTGCTGCTTTTGCTTCAAGTTTTACACAGATTGCGACTGCTGGAACAGAGGTATGATTCGTTCCGAGATTAGAGTATCATTATAAACGTTCAAAAAAACTTATTATTCCAGCAACATCGTCGCCATCTGGCTCGAAGTATGGCCACACAGGCTACTGCTCAAGAGCTAGGTCCCGGTGCAGAGCAGATGCGGAAGGAGAAACTGGCAAAGTTTATGGGTATGTTTCTTATCTTTTCATATTGATTTATAGAGTATTTCTTGCTTGTAATTTTTATCTCGTTGCTCTTCGTGACTTTTATCAGTCTTATGCAAATTGGTTTAAAGTTTTGATTTTTAGAAAGACAGTCTGCTCGCCGAGATGGTGCATTTGTTCCTCCCACTCCGGCTGTACACATAGGTGGCCATCAGAAACAGAAGCCACCGTTAGTGCCAATGGGAGCATTGCCTGGACCGGTAATTTACACCCTTCTTCCAGCTAATAATATAGTAATCTATTTCCTGAACATTAAAGACAACAGCGACACTTCCTCCTGTCCCTAAGATAAAGCAGCAGTTCAATTTGTTTACGAATACCAAGGAGCTCACCAAAGAAGAGATGGAATCATTATTTGAGAGTTGTTTCATTTCAATAATGAAAGCTGAAAGTGGGTTTTTACTACGAT